TGCGGCAACCGTATATCCCAAGATTCTTTATCATGTTCGGCAAAAATAGCCAACATGGGCTTTAATGTCCGATTGACACGCTCAGATAAATTTGATTGAGGATGATAAAGAGCGGTCGTTCGATGCCAGATACCCATGATCTTTAAAGTTTCTCGAAAAACGATAGAGAATTTCGCGGTGATCACGAATATCACTTCCCAGGCTCTCAGAACCCTTTCCTCGCTGAGATATTTGCAAAATACTGAGAGTGTCTAAAAAAACCCAAAATTGGCGAACCTAACACAGGTTTTTCTGGAGGTGCTAGAATCAACAGTTTTACGTGGCTAGATCCGCCAGATACTGAGCTGCGAAATAACAAAGAGCTTTATTTAAAAGTCCTGTTCCTAGCTGAGAAAAGTCGACTTTACTGCGAAATAGCAAAATTCTGACAATAATTCGCAATTTTCTCCATCAGAACTCAACTTTCGCGCGATGAAACCATTATATTCGGAATCAACCTCGAAAATTGAGTCGAATGATATTCCTTTTTATCTTATTCGATCACTTTAATTTTTTTTGAATTTTCGCGTCGAAGAATTACTGAGATTTTCGTCAAAAACGAAAATCAATGAAAAAACTTGAAATATATATCATTTGACTCGATTTTCGGTGAGGATTCCGAATATAATGGTTTCATTGCGCGAAAGTTGAGTTCTGATGGAGAAAATTGCGAATTATTGTCAGAATTTCGATGTTTCGCAGTATATCTCAGTGAGGAAAGGGTTCTCAGAGCCTGAGAAGTGATATTCGTGATCACCGCGAAATTCTCTATCGAATGGTATATGAAACATCGAAAAATAAATTTCATTGCAACTCTGCCTTGGGTGCATCTTAAAAATTATCACAGTTTTACTTGTAGAAATTTATTTTTCAGTACTCTCAAATAGGGTCTGTTTTTTAAAATGCTAGAACACACGTTCCGATTGAAAAAGCATTTTTCCTAACGGAATAATATGCGTTTGAGTGTTATGCAAGGACTTTTTAACTGCACTTACTTATTTCTAAATAGTTTGAATCGGAATACGTTTATAGCTCCTGAATGGAATCAATTATTTTCGGACGAAGAACTTTTGTTCCAGAAAATTATATATTTTTTCTACTCATTCAGCGTTGTGAACATAATGGAACATTGCATAGGACATCTTCCACGCTTAAAGTGCATTGAGAATAATCTCACATTTCCATTTATTCTTCAATGGATTTGAATTAAATTACCTTTGCGCATCAATTGATGCCGTGAAGTTGTCTTCATATGCAGCAACGTACTTGTTATTTGTCAGTTATGTCAATTTACATGGCGATTTACACAATATTAAGGAAAATCAATTCTCAATAATTGACAACTCAACAGTGCTCTGATGATTAGAGATCATGTCAGCGAGGAAAGATTTTTCACTTTAAAATTAGTATTTGATGGATGATTTATTGTCTAATTCTAAAAAGAACTACTGTGTTCATATTTTTGTTGTTTCAAAGGATTTATGACCGTATTTTTGTAACCATTTGAGTTCTTCGCGAACTTTTATTTTTCCATGCCAAGGATTTTTGTTCATAAAATGTCCTTCATTTGGAAAAACTAATAATTTGACGGGTGTTCCGAGATAATATAGGCTACGTTCCAATATGTAACTCTGATCAGCAGGCACGCGTACGTCATTCTCACCGGTGACAATACGTGTGGGTGTACGTATCTTATCTGAATGATAAATAGGTGATTCATTCTGATATCTATGTGGTATTTCCCATGGAAATCCTCCAAATAAATAGCTGAGATGTACAGGTAGATCCATTGTACCCCAAGCAGAGACATGTTCCACTGAACCAGCACCAGACAAAGCAGCATGAAAGAGCGTAGTTTCGGTAATCAGCCAGTTTGTCAAAAATCCACCATAGCTATAACCGCCAACAGCAAGATAATTCGGATCAGCAATTCCATCCTTAATAAGACGACTGACGCCTGCAAGAATATCTCTACCAGGTCGAGATAGAGGCTGAAAACGAACTTCGCTAAGAAATTGATCTCCATAACCGGTTGATCCACGATAGTTGGGTTCTAAAACCAACCAACCTTCGGATGCTGCTAACGAAGTCCAATAATTTGTGCTCGCTTGAAATCGATTGACACTTGCTGAATATGGACCGCCGTGAATGAAAACGAGAAGAGGCAGACTTTTACATTCAAATTTTCCTGGTGGAAAATGTAAAATTCCTTCAATCATACGATGATCATCACCGTTGATCCATTTATATACTTTCGCTTTTGGTAAATTTCGTCTAGTGAAAAGTTTATTTTCGTTTGTTAGTACCTTTGCAAATTGAAGTTTGTCAATTTTATTAATAAAATAAATTTCCTTTGGTCGTTCAAAACATGAATATACGAAAGCAATTGAATTCAATGATGATGAAATCGATTCATATGTTCCACTCCATCCAGTGTTCAAAATGGAATATTTCGATGGGGATCGTTGTGTATAGACTTGAACGTTTGTTCCTAATTGTCCGAGTATGTAGGCACCGCCATCGGATCTTATCGCGTATCCTTCAATACTACCATCGAAATCTTTTGCTAAACGTTCAGTCTGTCCGTTTGTTAGATCTACGGAATGTAATCGTCGTTGGGTATCATTGAATTTTCCATTACTCGAACTGTAGGGTGTCACTTGAAACAATATATGTTTACCGTCCACTGATAATTGTAAATTATGTTCAATTTGTTCATTATTTGTCAATTTCGATAACGAGAAATCATTCTGTAAATTGATTGAATACATTTCAAAGCCATCTAAGTGTTCGTAGAGTTTTGATGTCGATGTAAACACAAGTTTCTGTTCAGCAGGTGAAAACAATAGTTCACTAATTGGAAACGAGACGTTTTTAACAAAACATGCGGTCGATGTTAACACTTGATTTTTACGGTCTATATCAATACGATAAATGATACTATCGTCACTAGATTTACGCTCGCGATATTGAATCACATCTTTCCATTCAATTTCATGCAAATTATCTTCTCTCGATCTTGATACCATTGTAGAAACGAAAAGAGATGAATCATTATTAGACCATGCAATAGCAGACGGGATTTCTACTCCAATTCGAACTGGTAGCAATTCATCAGATGTCATACAATAGAGATAAATATACTGTTCGGATGATTGTCGATCGCAATGTTGGTCATGTTTAGTGTTTGTTGTAGAATTTTCATTGAGCAACAATACAATCCAATTTCCGCTTGGTGACCATTTTGGTTTGACAGTTTCGGATAGTTTGTTTTTAATCAGTTTTTTTCTCTGTCCTTGAGTTTCATAAAGCCATAAGCTGTTCTCAAATGAGTTGGAATCCCAAACTGGACGTCTCGTATGAATAAGTAAATGTTGACCGTCGGGAGAAAGACTCAACGATGGAAAATTGACATAATCAAAGTATTCGTCGAATGTTAATTTTGCCTTCATTCGCATCGACGAACATGAGACGAGTTTTAAAACAAGTAGTACACATAATTTCACTTTGATCATAAACATCATGAGACTAATCTAAAGAATGACAGTTGAAATAAGTCATCCTACTCTATTTTATGTAGGAAGCAAAACAGGGTAAATGAAGAGATTCTAAATCAGACATTGAAAGACGAGAAAAGCTACAACTTGGTCTCTTCTCATGATTATGTCGAAACTGTGAACTGGTAGGAGCGACTTTCGATCGTGTACTTTTGTTTTGTTCAATGTTCGGGCGTTATTCAATACATACCGTTACTCATGAACGCTATTCTAATATTGTCGCACTCATCGCAGGTCTCTCTACCTAAGGTCTAACTTTCTTCTTCTGTCGACTGATGATAAAACACACCTGCATACATACAAAACCTTTCAATCGGATTAAGAATAAGTGTACGCACTCGACATCGCTGGATATTATAGGATTAATTCTTGTTATTTCATAAGATTAAGGTAAAATTTGACATTTGTGATAATCAAGCATTTATTTTCTCGAATAGGGGTGGGACAGTTCCAGTTCCGTTCTTTTGAACGGGAACTGCTACCAGTTCTTTGCAAAAGAACGGGAACTACCAGTTCTGGCAGCATAGGAGCTGTTAGTTATTGTTCATTATATAATTTGTAAACAAATTGATTAGAATAGTTAATAAGCTTATTTCCCTATGACGTAAACTTGCTTACACATTAGGAAGATAAGCTTGCGGTTGTTAACTTCTTATTCAATCGAGAAAGCTTTGGCATCTGCACACGAGCTAGTGCTACAATTATGATACAGTTTAAGGATGGTTGTAATACGAATTTGGATATATGTACCCCGGCAACGTACTTAATTCATGTAATATTTACCGGCTACGACTTCCATCCTTAAACTGTATCGTCATTGTAGCAACTATTATCGGAGACAAAATACAAGAGCACTGGTTATTTTTTGAATAAGTCAGCATCATATAAAGATAAAGACTTGCGATTTTCACCATTCGATAGCCAAAACTTGAGGCTATCCTTCTACAAGCAAAAACTATTTTTGGAAGAATTTCTGAAGCCGGTTTTTCAGAGAATCTTTGGAAAACTAGCTTGGATTTTCCAAAAATCAAATAGGAATTCGTTGATTTTTTTGGGGCATATATAGTCTGAAGTGTCCTGACAATCTGAAGTTAGTTGGATGGATATTGACTGAGTTGTGAATTTTAATTTTTCATGATAATAATCAAAAATGGGTTATTTCATTTAGTATAGTTAGTTCATCTGGTTTTCACCCGATTGTTGCATTTTGTTCTAAAAACTAACATTGCCACGTGTTTGAGCATAGTCGATAACCTATGTTTTCATTCATTTCCCACAGTCCCAAACCTAACGGCACAGGAGTACTAAGGCCTAAAAACGTCCATAGCTCCCGAACCATGGGTTTTCAAGATGTCGCATGATTCCAGTTTTGTAGAAGACACTTAAGACTATATATGTCCCAAAAAATCAACAGATTCCTATTTGATTTTTGGAAAATCCAAGCTAGTTTTCCAAAGATTCTCTGAAAAACCGGCTTCAGTAATTCTTCCGAAAATAGTTTTTGCTTGTAGAAAGATAGCTTCACGTTTTAGCTATCGGATGGTGAAAACCGCAAGTCTCTATTTTTATTTGATGCTGACTTATTCAAAAACTAACCACTGCTCGTGAATTTTGGCTCCGATAGTCGCTCGTGTGCAGATGCCAAAGCTAAAGACTTTTCTCGACTGAATAAGAAGTTAACAGCCGCAAGCTTATCTTCCTAATGTGTAAGCAAGTTTATGTCATAGGGAAATAAGCTTATTAACTATTCTAATCAATTTGTTTACAAATTATATAATGAACAATAACTAACAGCTCCTATGCTGCGAGAACTGGTAGTAGTTCCTGTTTTTTGGAAAGGAACTGGTCGCAGTTCGCGTTCTTTTGAAAAGAACTGGTGACCAGTTCCCGTTCAACAGAAACTGAACTGGTGACCAGTTCTTAAGAACTTTAGGAACTGGAACTGTCCCACCCCTATTCTCGCATATAAAATGCGCATTATTATTATTCATTGCTTTTCTGGTCGTTATGTGGCTTTTTCGAATTTGAAGAACTCATTATTTATTGTTCAATCGTTGCAAATGAGCTGAAATTATTAGACTCGTTCAATAAAGATATTTTCAACTGATGAACTTATTTTTCCAGGTCGTTGAGAATTTCTTGCTAGTTATCTTGAGATAATTATACAATTGATGTTACGATGACAACATATT